AAGCTTAAATGCACCATAGAAACATTATTGCTGTAAATGGCAGATTTACGTGAATCTGCACGTGAATCTGAAGCTGTCTGGCGTTGCTACGATGAATTTTTAAAAGATTCGAACAATATTGCTGCGAGCATTACACGGATCGCTCTTGTTTTTCAGGCAGATATAATACTTTTTACTTGTTGTAATTATAAAATTAAATATTGTAGATCAGTAYTCGATCTGTACAAAAATACTATCACAGAAGAAGTTTGGAATGTTATTTGAACCGGGCAAGAAAACTGGTCAATCTAASAATCGTCACAACCATCGCCGTCTCGATAGAAATAATCATTTTTTGAGTTCAACTGATTCCCGTTGGCGCTTTAATCTGAGGAATTTTTTTGACATATCCAGTTTTTTAGCTTAAAGGGTTCAATCTCGTAATATCAATTCTCCCTGGCGTATCTAGTTTTGTTGTATCATTCCTTCTCAGCTTTTATAAATTGCGTTATTTTTCGTTAATAATTCAAAATCATTCAGTTTTTCCTTAGTAACCCCCGTAACTAAGAAAAAATCGGAATCTCTGCTCCAATGCATTTTTTACGAAATGCCCAGGCGGGATATTGATACATTTCATTAAGGAGGCGGTGGTCACAACAATTGGAGTTATTACTTTAAACTCTTTAAAGAGTCTTTGAATGACTTCATTTTTACAAAAATTAAAAAAACGAACATATAACAGTTTCAATAATTTACGAAGAGAACGTCTTGACTTTAATAGTAGTTCCACAACATATACAGAATTTTAAAATCATTAGGTCACTCATTTAAAAAAGAAAACAGAAAAAGATACTCATTGAGAGGCAAGAGATTATAWATTAGAGAATTCGTTTTTGCTTAAAATATCAACAACTGTTAAAAGACCCTGACATGAAATTTATTTTTTTGGATGAGACTTGGGTTTATCAAAATGGGAGTCAACTCCGTCAATGGGTATTAGAGGGTAATCCTAAAGGTGTGTTAGCGCCAATCTCAATAGGCTTTAGCTAGTAACCATAGAAGTTTACATAATAAAAAATAAATAATTTAACTGAAACATCTTTCACTGAAGTCTCCTTTAACTCTCCTCAACACACCCTCAAGCTCCAAAGAACCTCACCTCATATCAAGAGAACAACCGTCCCTAAATTGTCTCATCAAGATCTTACAAAAGGTAGGATTTTTCCCGTTTTTAATTGTTACCTCGATCATAACATTTTGGTCCTTCGTGCCGGATATTCCCTCATTCCCTCATTTTATATCGTTGTAATTCTCTCATTTTATTTGTTAATTATTTGTAGTATTATTTCAAAAACGGTTTTTCCTTATTAAAGTGTTAAATTTCAAATTCTATCGATCATTTGTTCACATCGTTTTGCCCAATTCTACCCCTGCCGGAGTTCTTTCTGAACTTGCGCGATTTTCGGAAAAATGGGAACTGACATTTTCAAAACTGAAGAATATTAACAAAGCCTCCCAAAGTTTAAATCCCTATAATAGATAAGCTGCATCAAATTGAAGAAACCTTTGAAGAAATTCAAGAAAAAATGGTTTCCTACTAGATACCAAATGTGTAATTGTACTCGACAATGCCCCTTACTACTCAGTTAGAATTAAAAAACCACCACCAGCTTCTTCAAAAAAGGATAATATGCAAGAGTGGCTCAAAGATAAAAATATACATTTTGAAGTATCCTAGTAAAAAGCAACTTTGGGAGGTGATTCAAATTTCATTAATTAGCAAAAACTTTGTTAAATATGAAATTGATGAAATCTTAAAAGCTGAAGGTTATGAAGTGCTAAGACACCATGTAACTATCAGAATAATGCAATTGAATTAGCATGGGTAGACTGTAAGAATTATTATAATAAACACATTCCATGTCAACTTGATTCTAGTGACATAGTAATATAATATATAATAATAGTGTGGCGGGAAGCTCTTCAACAGTGTAGTAAAGAAGAGTGGAGACATTTCATCAAACATTCAGAACAGAAATGGTGAAGCTACAACTTTGCAAGAACAAGAGTTAGACAATGTAAATGAACCTTCAACATCTGATTTACATTCAAATGTTACTTTGAAGTTAGAATGTGAAGCAATTGAGCTGATGATAGTTGACACAACTGATTCAGACTAACACATTCTTAACTGCTTAGTGTTTTACTCTAATTATAATTTTTGCATTACCTACTGTTATTACATTTTATTATCAATATACTTTTCTTTGTAGATACTTTAAATAATTTTTGGCATATTCTTCTCATTGTGTAAATCGGACATTAAAATTTAGTGACTTTTTAGTAACTAAATTAAAGGTGCGTTTAGGCTTCCACGGTCTATTTGATGCACATTAATATGAAAGCGACTATAGCTATTAAAACAACAAAAGTTTTTAGACAATTTAAAAATCGAGGTCGTAGTCTTTGTAAAAATGTAGAGTAAACCAGGGTGATAAGGTCAATCGGGTGAAATGGTGAATTACTTTATTTCTTTTTCGGGCAGAGATATTTCTCTGTAATTCTGAATGACAGTTGTTTATGATCATTTGTGCAGCGAGCACCTATTGAAAACCAGTCCTGTTTTGAAAAGCGTAAGTAATTTGTACAAAACTGTTTCCGATACTCAACAATTTTTATATGGCGCAGGCGTTTGTAGATGTTGCTTCAGGTAGCCTATCCGCGATGAACTCGGGCATGGGTGATACGGTGAACCACTTTTCTTACATGTACTCGTATTTCTCGACATAAGTAAAAGTCTTAACTATATCAGCTTTGTTCCAGGCAAAGATGCCTACATTTTTTAAAATTTTATAAATTTTCATAAAGTTTTTTTTTTAATT